CCCAGGGATCGAACTCACGTCTTCTGCGTTGCAGGTGGATTCTTTACTGGTGAGGCACCAGGGAGGCCCAATTAATAGCATGGATATCTGCAAATGCTACAAATAAGGGTTTTTTGGGAGGGGGAGTTGGGGTTTGCTCTTTTGTTGTTGTTGTTTGAGCACTTATTTACCAAAACACCAGCAGACATAGAGAAACTCATGCCTAAGTACAAAGAGACATTGTAGGAAAAAACATTCGGAATCTCCACTGTATTTACATTTAATGGGGTGTTAATTTCAGGACATAATTCGTATTAGATCATCACAGAGGTACAATAACATCATACTTTAACCTTAGCTTGAATTTTTCAATCACTTCCACATTCTCTACTCTCTATGTAGTCATTCTTAAACAATTTTTTTCAAACAGTAAGGAAAGTATATTATTTAACATAAGAAGAAGCTGGAGAGGCTCCCTGGCTGCTTAACTTGCTGACTATTTTTAAGTTGCTTGGTTCCTTCCCTTCCCATTTTGCCATCAACGGAAGCTCCCCTCATTTAACAAGAGGGCTGTGACGATGCCAGGAATCCTTTCACTGATGATCAATGGTGATCATATGTAGGGGATGAAAAGATGCTTCTTCCCACATGTGCCTTTTCATCAAAGAACAAAACTTTCCCTTAATTCCCCTAGCAGACTTCCCCTCAGGTCCCATTGGTCAGCTTGAATAATTTAAATTTTATTTCCACTACATTCAGAATTTGTCATAGGATTGAAGTAGTTGTTTGCAAGCCTTACTCTTCACATAAAAGTTAAATTTTTAAACAGAAAAGGAAAACCCTAGAGTCTCACACTGACAATTAAAGCCACTCATTATTTTAGATCCGGGCAAAAATCGTAAGTAATTTAGGTAATTTTCACTGAAATTATCTCAGTAAAGTTCATGTACTTCAAGTGTTTAAGAATCAACTTTCATTCAGATCAGTGCCCTATTTTCTGACAATTTAATGTATTTTTCACAGATTTAGAACTTTAACCTTGACGAGAGGTATAAATGCTATGATTATCTTAATGTCAATATTATGTTTAAAAATAATCTTGCCGGAGGTAAAAGGATCATATATATGAAAGTCATGCAGTTATGACTAGGGTCATTTACATTTCTCTTGCTTAACTCTATTTTGACATGCTTACCACTGAGCCAGGGAAAGCACAAGCATATGGTTATTATAGCCACTTCCTTCCAGTTCCAACCTCATTTTCTGCTGCAAACATCGAGGGGAACCAGGTTCTCCAAGTCATTCACTAATATGAAAAAGGACTGAAGGCCAAATGTATTAATTTACTAATGAGATTTACATGTGGAAGTGCAGATGATAGATTCTGACAGCTTCTAAGGAAATAATACCCTGTATGCCCTGAATCCACATATATGTCTATCGAATGTAAACTTTCAAAGATAATCCAAGTTATATTGTCAAAAAATAGCTATTTTTTTTAAAGTTACATTTGGATAAACCATTTTATTTAGGGCTTCCCAGGTGGCATAGTAGTAAAGAATCCACCTGCCAGTGAAGGAGATTCAAGAGATGAGGATTCAATTCCTAGATCCAGAAGATCCCCTGGAGGAGGAAATGGCAACTCACTCCAATATTCTTACTTGGAAAACTCCATGGACAGAGGAGTTTGGCGGGCTACAGTCCATGGGTTTGCAAAGATTCAGACACAACTGAACACACACGCACACACATATCATATAAACCATGAAACTTTCCCTTTGAAGTGGTTTTAGTTGTATTTGCAACTGGCAGCGTTAACTAACTTCAGCAACCTACAGACTGGCAACCTCTAAGATGGTGCTCCTTGCTGGAGAACACTGAACACTTATCATGTTGTTAATAAGGGGATGATGGCTGAAGGGGGCAAATCTTCAAACAGAAAGGGGGCAAATAGAAATGGTATATTTTTGCAGTCAGAAGAGAAAATGTACTATTTTAATAATTTTTCAACTTACTGTAATTATAAAATTGCATACACACAATAAATATCCAAACAGTAGTGAACAGTATACAAAAAAAAAAATCACTTTCCCTCCAAAACCAACTAGAGGCATACATTGCCAACATTCCTTCTGAACCTCTCAAAAAATATATATAGCCGAATAAATGCATGTTCTTTTTAATTAGTGAAAACATAGGATTTTACTAAACAGCTTCTGCATCTAGCTTTTAAAATTTAACATATCTTGAAATAATTTCCAAATCAGCAAATACAGATCCATTTATTTATTCAATCAATAGCTATTTATTAAGTGCTAGAGACTATATTAGGTAGTAGGAATAAAATGGTCAGCAAAACAGACTAGATGTTTCTTCTCACAGAATGTATATTCCAGTGACAGCAGCAAAAGTATAGAAATTTTTTTTTAATATAACTACAGATTATGAAGGAAACAAAAAGGGATATGTTTTACAGTGGACCCACTTTAAATAAGTGGCTCAGTCAGTAAAGAATCCACTTGCAGTGAAGGACATCTCTTGCACTGTAGGAGTGAGTGAGTGAAAGCCACTCAGCTGCCTCTGACTCTTTTCAACCCCATGGAATGTATAGTCCATGAAATTCTCCAGGCCAGGATACTGGAGTGGATAGCCATTCCCTTCTCCAGGGCAGGGGATCTTCCCAACCCGGGGATTGAACCCAGGTCTCCCACATTGCAGGTGGATTCTTTACTAGCTGAGCCACCACGGAAGGCCAAGAATACTGGAGTGGGTAGCCTATCCCTTCTCCAGTGCATCTTCCCAACCGAGGAATCAAAACGGGGTCTTCTGCATTGCATGTGGAATCTCTACCAGCACTGCAGGAGACCTGGGTTCAATCCCTGGGTTGGGAAGATCCCTGAAGAAGGAAATGGCAACTCACTGCAGTATTCTTGCCTGGGAAATCCCATGGGCAGAGCATGGCAGGCTGCAGTCCATGGGGTTGCCAGAGTTAAACACAACTTAGTGACTAAACCACCATGACCACCACCACCACACTGTAGATAGGAAGGGCAAGTATGGCCTCACTGAAAAATTGACCTAGACGCTAAGATGAAAGAAAGTAGTTAGTCACTCAAAAAACTGGGATAAGAGAATCCAGGCAAGAGCAAACGCCTTGAGATGTGAAAATTGTTTGCCATGTTCTAAAAACTAAGAGTCGGGCAGGGTGACTGGTGTGTAGCAAGAGAGGGGAAACAAAAGGTGAGGTAAGTCATGTGAAGATGCAGATATTTTTTCCTCTAAAATATTTTTTAAATTTTACTTGTATTGTTATAAAATATACATAAGCTTACCATTTTAACAATTTTTAAGTGTATAATTCAATGAGACTAAGAATATTCACAGGGCTTCCCAAGTGGCGCTAAAGAACCTGCCTGCCAATGCTGGAGACTTAAGAGACATGGGTTTGATCCCTGGGAGAGGAAGGTCCCCTGGAAGAGGGCATGGCAACCCACTCCAGTATTCTTGCCTCGAGAATCCCATGAACAGAGGAGTCTGACGGGCTACTGTACATAGGGTCGCAAAGAGTCAGACATGACTGAAGCGATTTCACACAATCACAATTTGCTTTGCTAGGTTTAGATTTTCACACCGTGTTTTTTTGAGGCAAACATATCCTGCCCTGGATTTTGTATCAATTTCTTAGGATTTGTTACCCAAGAATTTCAATAACAGAGACCTGGCAGCAATAAAGAGGTGTTCATTTGGGGTGTGTTGGGACTGCAGCCCAGGAGATAGAACTCCAGGAAGCACTTGAATTATGTTCTGCCACACTGCAATGTGGGGGAAGCTCATAAAGGCAGAAAACCACAAGATTACATACATTGTTTGTCAATAATTAAGATTGGAGTTGGCAAGAAGTAAGGGTGCTTGATAAACAAGGATTGCTTTGGGACTGAAATGATACATAGCTGAAAAAGATAGGGGTAACCTTTGAAACTACAAAGTTGTAACTGCTGCTGCTAAGTCACTTCAGTCGTGTCTGACTCTGCCACCCCACAGATGGCAGCCACCAGGCTCCCCAGTCCCTGGGATTTTCCAGGCAAGAATATCGGAGTGGGTTGCCATTGCCTTCTCCAAAGTTGTAGCTAGCAGCTGCAAATACATTATTGCTTTGAAACCAGCTGGTGGTGTCCTGAGTTTGACACAGATCAGAAAATTCAAGTTCTCTCTGATGCAGAAACATGTCTGAAACCACACCCAACTATGTCCACCCGGCTCAATTCTGAATGCCTGACACCATAGTTACTCCATCTTGATTTCTTAAACGATGTAAATATGTCATCAACTTCCAGTTTTTAAAGGAGAGATGATGTGTCTTTTACTGATTGTTGTTTAATTATATGCTTTCACATGTATTCTTTCTGACAAGATCATCAGCCTGTCTCTACCACTAAGCCTAGTGCTATGCAGTCAAGATTCAAGATATAATAGGCTGAGAAAAACAAGCGTAATAAAACGCAAAGCATGAAAACTAAGGAATGGTAAGTTTATAAACAAGGCAAGTGCTTTATGAATGCTTTTTCTTCACCCTCTACTATTATTATCAATAAAATTAGCAACAATAACTATTGTCATAAAGGACTATACAGCTTCTTTTTTTCTGGTAACTAGTTCTTCTGTGAGTGTTAACGGGTCGATTCTGGGTACTCTTACTCTATATCGGGGTTTCCAATACCACTTTTTTAAGTACTAAACTACCTGAGGAAGTAAAAGACCAAGCAAATGAAACCAGGAATGGGAGGAACTTTCTTTTTTCCAGCATTTTCTGGTTGCTTGGATCCATTACAAACTGGTAGACTAATCAGTTACGTAGTCTACAGACCAGCTCACAATGAGGTCCTCAGCAGCCGCAAAGGCCAATGCATAAATTCCAAAAGCACCCCTCAGCTCTCGGTGTAAACCCGCCGCACCGCAAACAGGCGCGGGCTGAGGGGCGGGCCCAGGGCCGGAAGGGGCGGGGCTAGACCTGGAGCGTCGTAGCGCCAACCCGGGCCGCGACGCCTTCTTTTCCGCTTGGCCGCGGGCGGAGGAAAGGCATTGAGGGTCTGTCGACCGTACGGGCGTGGCAGCAACGCCCGCGGGCACGTCGCCCAGCTCTTCGGAGGGAGAAAGCCCCACGGAGTTAGATCATTTTCTTATTTCTCCCGGGAACCCGACTCCGTGCCCGGGTCTACAGGTCGGCCTCAGGCCCCTCCGGCTTGTGCGTCCCGCCCCCGGGGTCCCCATCCCGGTGGCTTCGGTCCATTGCCGGGTACAGCCCAGCGGTCGGCGCGGCCGCGGCCTCCGAGTCATCCCATGAGGCCACCTTCCCCTCCCCAACCCGGTTGACGCCGCCTCGAGCTCTCCTGCATGCCTTCTGCTCAGTCGCATTTTGTGAGTAACCGTTACCTGTGAGTTTTAGCCGACCCTTGTTAGTAAAAGCCGATTTCGACTGTTCTCAGCTCAGACTAACGAAGGGCCTTTTGCCATTCTCTGGGTTCCGAGGCGGGTGGCCTCACGCCCAGCCCAGGCCTCGACCGGAGCCCTTTTGTATCCCAAGAAAAGGTTTGTGTGCGGCCTTTCGGCTTCTGGGCCCCTTAAATGTGCGCTTGTTTAGCCTTTCTAAAGAAACGTTCTGTAAAGGGGGAAGGGATTACCTCTTAAATCTTAAGGCAACCTTGACTTGGCTGGACTTTTTGGCTGGTTTTTAAACTTTTTAACGCAGCACGGTTAACCTGCTAACATTGAGTTCTGGGCTCTGCGCAGTGGCGCACTGTACGCATTTGTTCCCGGATCTTCCTTTGTAAATAGGCTCTAGAGACTTGGCACTGAAGTTGGAGAACAATCCATAGGGGTTAAAAGACCCTTAGGCTGTAGATGCCGGCTGTAGCCTTAGATGCTTGGATTTACATAGAGATGTGTATTCTGAACTTGATACAGAAGAAACTGGTCAAGAGCTGGAAGACCTTTTGTCTGTTTAAAAGCGAAGTTATTAGTGATCGTCGATGAGACTTGCTATAGTCAGGTGTTTGGTTTTTTTTCCCTCCCCCCGCCCCCCATTTGAAATACACGTTTTTTCATCTCAAACAATGAAAACAGTTAACTTTCACCAGGGCAAATGTGATGGCTTGAAGTAGCTTATATTTGGTATTTCAGTCCTTCTTTTTGAGGCATAGTGACTGGAACCCTATTTTCATTGCTAAGTGTTGGAATTTTTAAAAACTTTACAAAGTAAACGATTGATTAGAATTTTGATAATTTATGTAAGTTCTTAAGGATAATAAAGCCTTCCCAGGTGGCGCAGTGGTAAAAATCCCTGGGTTGGGAAGATCCCCTGGAGTAAAATATGGCAACCCACTGCAGTATTCTTCCCTGGAAAATTCAATGGACCGAGGAGCCAGGCGGCTTACAGTACGTGGGGTCGTAAACAGTTGAATATGACCGAGCAACTAACACACACAAGCATAATAAATACACAAGAACCCAGTGAGTATTATTAATACCATAACATCCATTTGCTTCCCTATCCCATTCCTTTCCTTCTATCCCATGCCTTCTCTCCTGAGGTGCCCATCATCTGGGATTTTGTTTCCAAACTCAGGTTTTTTTGAGGGGATTAGAGTGGATAGCAGTTTTATACATACATATCCCTAAGCGTTGGTTGTTTTAGGCCTTAAATAGAACTTGCATGTAGTTGTTAGAAGTGTTATGAATCATATATTAAAGTTTTCCAAATTGAAAATATTCATAACCAGTAGTTTGTGCTCTTAATATTATGTGAAATATCTCAGTATTTCAAGACTTGAAAGTGATAAATTGTTTTGCAAGGCCCAGCATTTGTTATGTGCTCATAAATCATTTTCAGTAGCTGATGGTTCAATGATTTATCCTCTTGGGGTTCTAGGGGACATGATCTGTGGCCCTGACCATGCCCTTTGCAGTACATAAATATGCTTTCAGGCAACTTGGGACTTAATTCTACAGGACTGTGTCCAGTAATGATGTCAACATCATGTATGTCTGCTCTGAAACTATATTAGAGCTGCCATAATAATGTTTTTAGTTAGAAGTCTGCACACATGTTTTTATATATCTAACCTTTAACCTGACTCACCTCATCCATGTCAAGCTCTGAGACAGAAAAGCAATGGTTAGGTACTCATTAGGACCATCATGTCTAAAATCTGTGCTGCCACAGTAAAAGAATATCGTAAATGCATCCATCGTTTTTACCTATGCTAATGAATCCATTTCCAGCTTGGAAAAATCATTTATGGAATTATTAGGGCCTAACCAATCAAAAGGATCAAGACATACCCAAGTCATTATAGGTATTAAACTGGGAGCCTTATCAGTTTTAATTACCAAAAAAAGTATAATTAAGCAGCACGCACATTCTTTTGTTCCTTTAGAGATGTGTTAAACAGCAGAAAATGACTCCACTTGTTAGTGGTTTTTCTTAAAAGTTGATTGGGAGTCAGAAAGATTATAAGTTTTTCTTTTTTTTTTTAAATGGTTCTTGAGTGAGTATGGGGAAAAGGGCCAACTGGATCATACTAGATATAAGATGCCAAACAGATACAAGTGCAAATGAGAATTCACAATGAAATACATTTAATTTCTAGGTGCAGCAGAGCCTGTGAGTTGAAGATGAAGATCATTGTGATAAATGTTTTCCAAAAACCTGTCACAGAGGATGGCTGTGAAAACACTAGGAGGACCGCTGTGCATGTAACAAGGTACCAGAAGTTATAATGTTAAGTTGTGTGCTTTTTTTTATGTGTTTGTGATATTGTTCCTGAAGCACAATACCAAAATGTTTAATAACTGGCACAGTGATGACAAATTACTTTTTGCCGTTTACCCAGCTGAGGGTATCTTTGAAGAAATAACTTTTAAGACTGAGATGCCAGTAATATATATTATGTGAATTACTCAAATCTAATACAGTTTTTTATTAAAATTGGTGAACTGTTCTTTTCAGCAGATGAGTACATACAGATGAATGTTCAAGTCCTTAGCATTGGTGCTTAAAAACTCTTCATTACCTCAAGTAAGTGATTACGATTTGTCACGCAGCCGCATCTATTGACAGTTTGAAAGTGTCTGATAAACTCCGAAAGCTGAGGCCATTTCCTTTCCTGTTAAAGATGCCTTTGTGTGTCAGGTGTATGACTTTCAGGTTTTGAGTATGGAATTATTTTACTGAAAGAAAAAAAAAGAAGAAACACCCTGTATGTGGACTCACGTAGTTCAAACCTGTGTTCAAGGGTATACTAGTTGAAATTTTCTCAACTCCTTAAATGACCCCTTACAAGTAAAGGTTTCACCTGTGACCTACAGATTTTTAAATTTTAATTTTATTCTTGGTTTGCTTTTATTTACATTTATGAATAAAAAAGGGATTTGGGAGTTAATCTAGGGGAAATGACAATTTTTCCTAATTCTAGTATACGTAATAATATGCTCGATTAAAGCAAGTAGTGGAGGTCCAGTCTGTCCAGGGCATGCGAATTTGAAAATAACTGAAATCCTACCAAGATGATTTAAATTTATCTGAATCTTGCTTTTCCCCTGTTGTGTCCTACAGTACATAAAATTCTTGCTTTTATCAGGGTTATAATTTCAGTTTGGTAAATCAGTATAAAGTGTACAGCAATATCTTTATAATGCCTTCCCATCAGGGGTGACATTTGAAAACCATTTTCACCTGTATTTGATACTAGTCCTTTTCATCAACAGAATCTGAACACTTCACAATTAATTGTAAAGAGGAGGCCATTTTATAGATCCTAGTTTTATTAAGAAATGTGTTTTGCCTTCATCTCATAAAGAACAAAAAACAAATCTAAATAGATAAACCACGAAGGAAGTCTTTAATTTGTGATAAATACATTTTTTTTAAAGACCAGGTTTGCCTTCTGAAAACACTGTATAGTCTCTGGCACTACTGGATATTCAATCAATACTGTTGAATGAACGGCTAGGAAGTAAAATAATAAATGATGGGTCCAAGTCCTCTAGAGAATGAGAGAGCTGTCTACCTTCATGGTTAAACTCCATAAAGTACCCATTTCTACAGAATTGATGTGTGATAGTGTCTTGGTTAATAAAGTGGCAATTTTGTGATGACATTTTCCTTTTAGTGAGTAGTCTTTTACTAAAACTGGAAAATGAAAAGGTTTTGCGGATTTTATATTTTCTCATGGTGTCCCTACCTTTTCAGAGTAGACACCGTCCCTCTGAAAGTGAAGACAGGGTTTGAAAATTGGTTTGTTTGCATTTTGGTATCTTGCAACTCGCTTTAAGGAGCCAATTACTGATCCTCAATTCAGTGTAACTTACTTTTTTTTTAATTTAACCTGGTTTAAAAATGGAAAATTTCCAAAGCTTTTTCTTATCCTATAATTAGGGTTTCTAAAACAATGTAATAGACATGACAATATCTAGTTAAGCATGAAAAGTCCTTAAATTGAAGGCTTTTGGTTATATAAATGCTGTTGTTTACCCATCAATTTGTCATGTTCACAAATTAAGAAAAAAATGATTTTAACTTTGTAAGTAAATATTTAAAGTGTTACTGCCATCTTGAGACAAATAGAAGGAACTACACAAAAGCACAAAACTTACCTTTTTTTTTCATTTCTTAGTTTGTAACATTTATATTTTAATCTGTGGGCCACTGGTATACTAGGTTAACCAGAAGTTTGTTTTTTTTTTTTTTAAATAAAATTCTCCTAATATAAATTTCTGCTGCTGGCTTTGAGATTTGGATTAGTGTTTATTCCATTAACAATTTGAAGAAATCATATTTTATATTTTTTAAGATGACATTCTAATATATCCTACACAATGTAGGTACATTCTATTGTCCCCACACACAAGATTGCCTGAAGCATTACTTCAAAATCATTCACACTTTTTTCCATTGCTTAAAAAGGAATGAAGAAAAACATTTCCTCAGACTGCCTATTCATCACTAGCAAAAATAGCTGTCCCAGGTCCATATGTGGCAATAAACTGTTGGAGCTGTTGTTGGCACTCAGTCAGATAGACATCCCTTTGCTCTAAATATTCTTCATCATACTGTTCAAATGGAAACACCGCATTTGGAGCAACACAAAATACAGCAGCCCCTAAGTGTAGAAGGGAAAAGTAAAAATGAGAAATACTTATGCTAAATGTGAAGGCATAACTTTCAACAAAAAAGTTTATGCCTGCATTCAGGTTGCTAGGCAGAAAATAATTGGTATTGATTTCACTTTAAATAAAGAAGCCTCAAATGGGCAGTTGCACTGCCTAAAAAACCTAAGTTTCTCTTCTAGCACACTTCATCTCCCCACCCCACCCCACCCTGGCCACAATTACTATTATGTTCCATTCTGTTCCCCTCAAATCTTTTATTTTTAGCTGATGACCTTGTGTAGAGTAAAAGACCAAACCTACCTGATTTTGTATCCATCATTTTCCTTCCTATAAAGTAATTTTTCTATCAGAGGCCTTTACCTTCACATATGCTCTAGATCCCATCCTCTCACCTTTTTAAAGACTTCATGCTGCTTTCTGCACTGTTTTTGTACTGCACGTCATATGAACTATTATCTTCCGTCTTAAAAAAAAAAAAAAAATCCCTTCCTGGACCACACATCCTTCTCTAGCTAATTCTCTCTCATCTTCATAGTCAAACATTTCAAAGTTTGTGTGTGCTATCTCAATAGCCTCACTTCCTACCCTACCCACATCCCAACTCCATTGAAATAGCTCGAATCATGACCATCCACAACCTCTAGATGCCAAATCTGATCTTATTCAAATTCTCAACACGTGATATAGTTGACCACTCCACTCCTTTATTGAAACACTCTTTTTTTCTTGACTTCTCTAATACAACTGCTTCTCAGTCTCATTAGTTAGTTAGCTCCTCCCCCTCAACTCTTTTTCTAAAAACTAAAATTCTTCAAAGGCAGTCCTGTGGTTCTCTGTATAGTCTCTCAGTGATTTCATCCACTCCATGGCTTTGAGTACCATCTCTATACTGATGATACCTAAATTATATTTCTAGTTTAAAACTCTCTTCCAAACCCCAGATTATTGTATCTGTCTATTGATACCTCTGTAGGATGTCTTAAACTTATACCTATAATTTGATTCTCCACCCCTGACCCAACAAACTGGGTTTTGAAGAGGCGGAGGAACCAGAGATCAAATTGCCAACATCTGCTGGATCATTGAAAAAGCAAGTGAGTTCCAGAAAAACATCTATTTCTGCTTCACTGACTATGCTAAAGCCTTTGACTTTGTGGATCACAAAAACTGAAAAATTCTTAAAGAGATGGGAATACCAGACCACTTTACCTGCACCCTGAGAAACCTGTATGCAGGTTGAGAAGCAACAGTTAGAACTGGACATGGGACAACAGACTGGTGCAAAATTAGGAAAGGTGTACAACAAGGCTGTATACTGTCATCCTACTTATTTAACTTCTATGCAGAGAACATTATGCGAAATACCGGGCTGGAAGACTCACAAGCTGGAATAGAAATTTCTGGGGTAAATATCAACAACCTCAGATATGCAGATGATACCATTAATGGCAGAAAGCAAAGAGGAACTAAAGAGCCTCTTGATAGGAGAATGAAAAAATTGGCTTGAGAGTCAACATTCAAAAAACTAAGTACATGGCATCCGGTCCCATTACTTCCTGACAAATAGAAGGGGGAAAAGTGGAAGCAGTGACTGATTTTATTTTCTTGGGCTCCAAAATCACTGCAGATGGTAACTGCAGCCATGAAGTTAAAAGACGATTGCTCTTTGGAAAAAAGAGTTATGACAAACCTAGGCAGCGTATTAAAAAACAGAGACAGTACTTTGCCAACAAAAGTCCATGTAGTTGAGACTATGGTTTTTCCAGTAGTCAGGTACCGATGTGAGAGCTGGATCATAAAGAAGACCGAGTGCCAAAGAATTGGTGCTTTCAAATTGTGGTGTTGGAGAAGACTCTTGAGGGTCCCTTGGACTGCAAGGAAATCAAACCAGTCAGTCCTAGAGGAAATCAACCCTGAATATTTATTTACTGTTGCTGAAGCTCTAATACTTTGGCCACCTGATGAGGAGCCAACTCATTGGAAAAGACCCTGATGCTGGGAAGACTGAAGGCAAAAGGAGAAGAGGGTAGCAGAGGATGAGATGGTTAGATAGCATCACCAACTCAATGGACATGAATCTGAGCAAACTTCAAGAGAAAATGGAGGAGAGAGGAGCCTGGTATCCTACAGTCCATGGGGTTGCAAAGAGTCAGATTTGATTTAGAGATGGAACAGTGACAACAACAACTGGACCCAACCCTTTTTCTTTCTTTCTAGTCTTGGTAAATGGCAACATGATCCACTCAGTTGCTCAAGGCAGAAACCTGAGAGTTTTCTTTAATTCTTCCTTCTCCCCACTGCCCCAACTCCTAAATCCAGTTCAGGCACAGGTATTGGTTTTTTCATCCAAGAAAAACATCCCCGAGTAGGGATTATTTTCCTATCTTTAAAGTAACACTTGTGGAGTTTTAACATCATTTTGCTTAAGACTTAAAAAAGAATATACCTAACTGACACTCATTATGGAAACAAAAAGTAACTAAAGGAAAAACTCCACATAGCTTTATTTCCCTCAACAAAAGCTTTCTTAAATGCTTCAAGAAAGTCTTGACAAATAGTTATCAAGTGAAAATAGCCATATTCAGTCACAGGAGTCCTGAACATTATAGTACCAAAGTTCCTAAATTCAAAAACATAATTTTTATCTTCTTAACTGAAATCTAGTTTTGTCTTAATTTTGATGGTGATAGTTTGTCATAGTAAAATTGGCAGCATTTTTTCTTCGTAGTACATAAAATAATGTCTTAGATTTTATCAAGTATATTTTAAAATATAGAATAAGAATGTAAAGATAAAGCAAATTACAAACAAAAATACATATCCTTATTTATTGCTGGTTGGGAACAGTGGTTTTCTTTTTTGGTGAGTGAATGTGTTAGTTGCTCAATCATGTCGGACTCTTTGCAACCTCATGGACTGTAGCCCACCAGGCTCCTTTGTCCATGGGATTTCCCAGGCAAGAATACTGGAGTGGGTTGCCATTTCTTTCTCCAAGGAATATTCCTGACCCAAGGACTGAACCCAGGTCTCCTGCATTGCAGGCAGGCTCTTAACTGTCTGAGCCATGAGGGAAATTCCTAATTCAGAATGATAATTAACATTTTCTGAGGGTCATGAAACTCTAAGACATACTCCATAAAACTTAATGATTCCTGTTCCTAAGCAAGAAGGTAGAAAGCAAATACATATACAAGTTCACAATTAACTTAGGGATTCACAAGCCCCTAGGACTCAGTATTCATGGATGCTAGGTTAAGAATTCTTGATTTAGATAAGAACAAAGTTCTAATGTTCTAACGGATGTCTGTGAAAAAATATTATAAATTGAATCTGAAGCAAGTTAAAACACTAAATATATACACACAGAAAAGTTGGTATTAATACTTTATTGCCCAGGGCTGGAACTGAAAATAGAGTAAAAATCTCCTAAAATGGAGTCGGGAGACCAGAAGGGGGAGCTCTCATACAGGTACCTCTCAATATCAACATAGATCCCAACAGGAAGAAATATATTTCGCATCTCCAGCAAGAAGGGACACTACTCTAGTACCACCAGCAGGAGGAAGGAAAATTTGAAAGATTTTTCTCCTTGCCTGGCAACAGCTCTGCCAAAGAGAGACTGTCATAATGTAGCCAACGAAAAGACACTAAACTTGGAACTCCCAGTTTCCTCCAATGGACTTTCTGTTAAACCCCCCCCAACTGTTCTCCTCCATAGAAGAGTTTCTTTTTCTTTGCTTTACCAGACTTACATGTGATTTACCAGATTTGCGATGTCCTGAATTGCAATTCTTTCCTGCTCCTGAATAAAAAACATTTTCCTGGTAAAATAACTGGCTGATTTTGTTATGTTAGCAGAACCAATGTTTGAAGGATGGTATATCTCATCAAAATTAATGCCTCGTAATAATTCAAATTGCCAACATCTGCTGGATCATTGAAAAGGCAAGAGAGTTCCAGAAAAACACCTATTTCTGCTATATTGACTATGCCAAAGCCTTGGACTGTGTGGATCACAATAAACTTCTGGGTGTTCATTGGAAGGACTGATGTTGAAGCTGAAACTCCAATACTTTGGCCACCTGATGCGAAGAGCTGATTCATTTGAAAAGACCCCGATGCTGGGAAAGATTGAGGGCAGGAGGAGAAGGGGACAACAGAGCATGAGATGGTTGGATGGCATCACTGACTCAACGGACATAAGTTTGGGTAAACTCTGGGAATTGATGAGGGACAGGGAAGCCTGGCGTGCTGTGGTTCATGGAGTTGCAAAGAGTCGGACACGACTGAGAGACTGAACTGAACTGAATAATTCAAAAAGAACTTTGTAAGGATAATTCTCTTTACTCTCACCTTTAACAGCTCTTTTTATGTTTTTATTAGCAAAACTATAATAAACTCCTTTGATTTCAGATAATTAAATGCTATAGTCACAGTATTATAACTAGTAATTCAGAAAAGGTGGTGATACAAGTTGATCATATCTTCTTTGGCTTAGTGTCTAATTCCACTGTGGGGGATTTGCTTGACAATTATATGTTGCATGCTAATTTAAAAGGATGATAAATTTAAAATCATTTCATGCATCATATTAATTTTTTTTTTCAGAATTTTCTAAGCAATGCAAAGGTTAAAGTATAGGAATAACCATGCACAATTAGGAACTTAATATCAGATAATGATATGACCTGTAAACAATAATTAAATGTTTAAATTCAAATTGGACTTATCTTGTAGAAATTTATTATTCTTTAAAATAATATTTAATATATATGTAACATCTTAACAGATTAATACTCTTAAAGTTTAAATATAATTATTTGTAGTGATCATTAATAACTTAATAGATTACCATATTTCAGTGTTAGAGATGTTTCAAATAATAAGGCTGCAATTAGTACATCTTCTTTAAGCACTTTATTCCTTAAGTTCAGTCGAGCATGGGCTTCAGATAGGGAAACTCTAAAAGAGAAAATTGAGGCCCATCAAAATATGCTGATATTATAAAGACAATACATATTTTGGCAGGAAAAAACCAAGATATGTGTGAACATAAGCCACACCTTAAAGATCATCATATTCTTAAAACAATTTTAGTTTCTTTACAAAGCATTTTTTTCCTACCAAGTTGAATAGACTGAGAACGAGGAAGTCTCCTGATTTGTTATCAAAGAATTGGCTTTTATCCTGTTTTTTTTCTTTATTATTCTACACATTACCCTCCCCAAGTTCTGTTCAAGAGCTGAAAATACATAGCTGGAAAATTAACTAAATATCTCTTATAGACACATCCTTGGTCTTTTCTTCCAGTTCTTAACCCACTGGAAGTCCTCACAGAATCTTGAAATTTCAGTGTTGGAAGAGATTTTAGACAGCAAATTTCAACATTCCATCAGATAACTGAATTTGCTATACAGCATCCCACAATACTCATTAGTTGGTCTCTTTTGAACTTACCCTAGGATTCACTGAGAATCGGGAAGCAATCTATTTCTTTATTATTTTTAAGCTAGCTTTAAGGCACTTGAATGAGTGTTGGATGTGGAAATCAGAAAATCTGAACTATGTCTCTAGAAATTTACTAGCTGTGTGAGTTTGTATGAATCATTTAATTTCTGAGACTTTATTGAAGTTCTGCTATAAAATGAGGATAATAAAAATTAATTGGGAATTGTGGTTTCAAATAAGGCATTTGAAAATTTGGGGACTCACCCACAAAGATTATATAAATGTAAACCGAAATTGGTTTCACTGCAATTTATACCCACTGGTCCCTGTTTTGTCCTCTGGGATTACAAAACAAATCTAACACTTCTTAAATGAGACAGCTCTTCAGATAGTCAAAGACAAATTTTCTAGTTGCTCCATAGTCTATTTTCTCCAAGATAAATATTCCTAGTTCTATTTTTCTTTTGGCCACATTCCACAGCATAGAAGATCTTAGTTTCCTGACCAAGAAACCTGAACCCCCTGCTTCGGAAGTGTAAGGTTTTAACCACTGGGCCACCAGGGAAGTCCCTCCTAGTTCTTTTAATATGTCATGTGACATGATTTTCATGCCCCTTATCATCCTGGCTATTCTTCTTGTAATCAGATTTGGTTAATATTCCTTTTCAGTACAGTACTAAGGTATGATTTGATCAGTAGAGTAGACTTGGGACAGAATTAGCATTTTCTCACTCTTGATACTATGTTCTGTTAAGACAACCCCAAATCACAGTATTCTTTACAGCCCTATTACATTACTTACTCATATTAAACATAAAAATATGAAATCTCAAATCTTTTTCATATTAAGGCAGATCACCCCTTTCCCATGCATTCACACATATCCAAGGAGGTTGGGACCTAATTAAAGACATTATATTTGCCATATTAATTTTCTTGTTGCTAGACTAAAATAATAATTTGAGTTTGTGAAGATCTCTCCAGAGTTGTTTATTTACAAATTTGATTATCATGTTTCTGATGTCCTCACCCAAGCTTCTTCTAAAAATTTGACCGGGACAGAATATATATACAGCTTTTCAGGGAAAGCAAAGAGCCCTGTTCAGCTCCCCTTCTCTAGAAAAGCATGAAAGTGAAAGTCGCTCAGTCGTGTCCAACTCTTTGCAAACCCATGGACTATACAGCCCATGGAATTCTCTAGGCCAGAATACTGGAGGGGGTAGTTTTTCCCTTCTTCAGGGGAATCTTCCCAACCCACGGATCAAACCCAGGTCTCCCCGCATTGCAGGTGGATTTTTTACCAGCTGAGCCACAAGGGAAGCCCAATAATACTGGAGTGACTAGATTTTCCCTTCTCCAGGGGACCTTCCCAACCCAGGGCTCAAACCGGGATCTCCTGCATTGCAGGTGGATTCTTTACCGGCTGAGCCACAAGGGAAGCCCAAGAATACTGGAGTGGATAGCCTAGCCCTTCTCCAGGGGGTCTTCCCGATCCAGGAATCGAACCGGGGTCTCCTGCATTGCAGGCAGATGAAGCACGGAGGGTGTTAATAAGCACCTGTGTATAGAAGCAGGAGAAAAAGTCAAGGTTTATGACTCTTCTGAGAAGTGCTTCATTTACTTGACTATTTCATAAGACCCAGTTCCATCTCTAGTATTTATTTCAACAAGAGGAAAAAGTAGAGTTCTCATATTAAATTTAATTCTGTCTTATTCTTTGATTAGTAGAGTCAAATGTAAACTGAGGCTATGTGAGTTTAAATTAAAAATATCTTTTTAAGACAGAGAAAAAGCATATGAGATAATAGGGCTTTAAAACCTTTTAAGCTCTGAGTATTGAGTATTTGAAATATTACTTCAGAAAACAGCATTATATAATTCTGTTTGCCATTTTAAAACACCACAGTTAATTTCTACCTTCCCTTTCTGTCGCAATTTTTTAGTTCTATGAAGATAGAGCTGGAGAAGTTAACTAAACATATTTATCTCTTTTAGTCCTACACTTGGCATTTCCTATCAGTCCTCCACTTGTCTTATTTTATACTGTAGTCATAACAAGATATTTATTTATTTAATAGATTATTTTTACCCCTGGTCCTACTTCATAATTTGGGTTGAGATTACATATTAATCTATATCAAATGAAGTAATGGTCTATCAACAAAGGACTGTTTAAATTATGGAATAGCCACATCATAACATAGTAAAACTGTAAGGGAGCTATTAAAACAGAATGAGGTAATTCTTTATGTGTTGATAGTAAGATATCATGATATCTTTGCATGATTCCATTTGGGCAAAAAGAATATCAATATGGCTACATATGTATTTATGTATTATAAAAATTTTTTTATGTAATATGTCAATAACATTAATCTAAGATATATAACGTATTCAAATAAAATATGTACTTAATATACATCACATATTTAAACTATATATTTGTATATGCTAGTATCATAGACACACAAAACCTGTTAGCAGGGATCATTTCCAGGGAATGAGATAACCACAGATAGGGTTAGCAAGGGACTTAACTCATTATTTTAGACTTTTCTTTCACTATGTCCATACTTTACTTTTATAATAAAAATTAGTTTTAAAAAACTTCTCAAGGAACAATAGTACATGAGTGTACTAAAGTGTTTAAAAGTACAAAGAATAACATAAAGTTTTTTCTAAGCTCAACTATAAAATATCTAGAAAATCAACTGACTTAATGGACATGAGTTTGAGTAAGCTCTGGGAGTTGGTGATGGCCAGGGAGGCCTGGCATACTGCAGTCCATGGGGTCTCAAAGAGTCGGACACAACTGAGCGACTGAACTGAACTAAAGCAACCACATTAAAAAAAAATAATAATCATTTGCATTAAAAAATTTAGTGCATTTTTTTCAGATGTACCTGATACCAGGTATCCAATAAAAATTAATTTAGTGAAAACAAATTGTTGGAGGTTCAAATGATGTAAGGCTATAACAGAAGAAATAATTAAGTTACCTTAAATTCTTTTGGAACAAAGTATATTGTAAATCAACCACCCAGCAATCAAAAAACAAGTGAGGCAGTTAATTAAACACATCATTTAAAAGTAAATAATGAGGGCTTCCCTGGTGGCTCAGTGGTAAAGAATCTGCCTGCCAATGCAGAAGATAAAGGTTTGATCCCTGTTCTGGGACAATCCCACATGCGGCAGAGCAAGTAAGCCTCTGGATCACAACTACTGAGCCTGTGCTCTAGAGCCAAGGAGCCACAACTACTGAGCCCTCATGTCGCAACTATTGAAGTCCATGAGCTCTAGAGTGCATGCCCCACAAGAAGAGAAGCTGCTGCAATGAGAAGCTTGGGGACCTCAACTAAAGAGTAGCCCCCAGTCTCTGCAACTAGAGAAAACCCCACACAACAACAAGAACCCAGCACAGCCAAAAAAAAATGTAAATAAAGATTTTTTAAAGTCAATAATGATTTTAAAATTGAATACCTACAAATATTTTAATGCAGATGCTGACAGTTTTGATCCACATATAGAATCTGTTCTGATTCTGCGACTTGCTAGGTAATAGCCATGAATCATTCTTTCTGCCTCCAAGCTGAATTCCACGTTCAAATTCTTTGCAAAAGCAAGCAGCTAAATTGAAAGTGTGAAAATTCAAGAGATTCAAACTTTATTAAGAGAACCTGTATTACAAAAATCCAAAGTATATGGTCATTTTATTTTTTAAAGTTTGCATACTTTATTTACATCAAAACTGATTAAATATCTGAGCCATTCAAAGCCATTGAGCACTTTAAATCATAATATACTTACAAAGAATATTACGGTCTACCCAGAATAACCTCTTCTTCCCTCTTAGTACAGAAATGTTCTGTGCAATGTATTTGAATGACTATCAAGTCTTTGCTTCCAGCGGAATAAAGGCTTACTCAGAGCCTTCTAGTGGGAGACAGCTTCCCTCAGAATCTCATTTCCCTTTGAATAGTCTTAATTCTCTGACAGTTTATTTCCAGAAAACTTTCTCTCATTGGCCTCCTTCCTTCCCTTCCTTCCTTTGAAAAAACACATCTAAAGACTTGTGATGTGGGAAGTACTGTGTTAACTACTATCAAGATGGGCCTTGGAGATTCAGAAAGATTGGGGGTAGAAAATAAGCCTTCAGCTTAATGATTATCACTGTTTTCTCTGAGTTTTCTGCTTTTTCTCTGAGTGATTCCCAGTTCCTCGTTATTCTATGTCGTTATTCTAAGTCATTATTCTATGACACCATTTCCAGACTTTTCACCATCTCTTTTGTTTCTGTGAGTTGTAAAGCCAGAAAAACAACAGGAGGAAACAAAAAGAGAAAAACCACCCATAATAAAGTTGCTATTAACTATTATATCTGTATTTTAAATATAACTTTTTTAAAAAGATCTGGATATGTCCTGGGTTGGATATGTCCTGTCTTTATTTTACTTACATTCCACAATTCCCTCCAGGCCTTCAGAACAGAATAACAATACCATCAATAACACTAATAGCTCTCTCTAGGTTTTATGCTATGGGGTCACAGTGATAAGACACCCACAGTTCAGTTCAGTCACTCAGTCATGTTCGACTCTGCAACCCAATGAATCGCAGCACGCCAGGCCTCCCTGTCCATCAACAACTCCCGGAGTCTACCCAAACCCATGTCCATCGAGTTGGTGATGCTATCCAGTCATCTCATCCTCTGTCGTCCCCTTCTCCTCCTGCCCCCAATCTTTCCCAGTATTAGGCTCTTTTCCAATGAGTCAACTCTTCACATGAGGTGGCCAAAGTATTGGAGTTTCAGCTTCAACATCAGTCCTTCCAATGAACACCCTGGACTGATCTCCTTTAGGATGGACTGGTTGGATCTCCTTGCAGTCCAAGGGACTCTCAAGAGTCTTCTCCAACACCACAGTTCAAAAGCATCAATTCTTCAGTGCTCAGCTTTCTTCACAGTCCAACTCTCACATCCATAC